CAGAGATAGTTTCTATTTGTAAATGTGTAACATGGATGCGACTTTGCAGGCATTTCAGAACAGCACCAATGAAACTGTCAAACTGGAACACGGAAGCCTGCCCCATCAATATACAATTAGGAAATGAGCTGCTGTGCCATCTTCCTCGTCCTCCTCTCCCCTCTCCTTTGAATCCCTCGTGCCTACTGAATGAAAATGGTAGGATGGAGACTATGCTCCCAACCTCACAGCCTATGTGTTGGTGGTTACCACTTTACTGAGTCCCTACTTGCTAAGCATTGTTCTAACAACTACAGCAGTAACAGTAGCTGCCCTTTCATCATCCTCACCTCATACCAGGCACTGAATGTTTATATGTATAATTTAATCTTTGTAACAGTCTTGAGTTAGGTATTATTATTATTATAATAATATTCTCATTTTACATGAAGAAGCTGAGCATAGAGGGATTAAGAAACTTGCCCAGGCCTGGCGCAGTGGCTCCTGCCTGTAATCCCAGCACTTTGGGAGGCCGAGGCAGATGGATAATGAGGTCAGAAGATTGAGACCAGCCTGGTTAAGACGGCAAAACCCCATCTCTACAAAAAATTCAAAAATTAGTCAGGCATGGTGGTGCGTGCCTGTAGTCCCAGCTACTCAGGAGGCTGAAGCAGGAGAACCGCTTGAACCCAGTAGATAGAGGTTGCAGTGAGCCGAGATCACGCCACTACACTCCAGCCTGGGTGACAGAGCAAGACTCTGTCTCAAAAAAAAAAAAAAAAAAAAAACCCAGAAACTTGTCCCAGAGTGCATGTTCTTAGTCACCATGCTACAGTGTCTCCAGGTACTCTGCATTCATTACTTCATTTCATCTTTAAAACAACCTTGAAAGATATATATTATTAGCTCCATATTTTGCAGATTGGAAAAACTGAGGATCAAGGAGTTCATAATTTGCCCAAGGCTGCCTAAATAGTAAGTAGAAGAGTCAGCATTAAACTTGACTGCAAAGCTCACATTCTTTCCTCCACACCACACTGCTGCTGGTTAAAAGCTGGGGTCATAATCCAAGAAGAGCCCTGGGTTCAGGGCAGTTCATTTTATAATCCAAAAGTGACTCAGGTTACAAAAAGATGTGGTTCTCCAGGCAGTGGAGCGACACTGACAAAACTAGGGGTGATGGGTCCCTGGAGAAAGGGAGTGTGAAAAACAGATGGCTCTTAAGTCTACAATGCCTTTAGAGGAAATAAGGATTGATTAGGAAGAAAGGTGAAAATTCCCAAGCCACTGTTAGCAGAGCCTTGCTAAGGATTCTATTTTTCTGGTCCTGAGGCTGCCTTTTTAAGCAGATTCTCCCCTTGCATTTGTAGAGACCTTGGCTGGGCCAGGGTCATATCCCATGGTTGCAGGTCAGAAGCTAATGGCTCCCTATGGGTTGTGATTTTAGTCACTTGCTGCTCCGGCCAAACAAGCTAAAAGACCACAGAAGACAGATCGTTTGTTATGCTATTGTTTTTAGAAATCTGGGATGATGAAAGCAGAATAAGTTTCTGACCAAAGGAAAGCCTATCCTTAGGAACATACATGCACAGACACATGTCAGTTGAACCAACTGTATTTTTGATGAATGATTAGTGGGACTTTCCGAGAACCTGGCAAAATAGCACTCGAAGGGGTTTAGCATAGCCTTAAGATTCATAACAGAGATTAATCTCCTTTTCATTTTACCAAAATAATTAACAGAGGAGCAGAAAGGGGTTTTCCTTAGGGGGTTTCTGAAACCCCTTAAGGGTCTAATAACTATCCATCCTTAAGTTTATAGTGCTTAAACTTAAGTAGCATAATAGAAAAATAGCACCATTATATTTATGCCACTGTGGATCTTACTACATTTAGGAGGCAGAACCTGTATGGGGAAGAAGAATAATGATTTATTCAATTTAATCATTTACTTAATTTATCTGGTGCTCTGAAGGCCTGGGGAAAATATAGCTTAAAATAACATTTTAATCAGCACTCATCAGAGCAAATTGTAATGGCCTGCTAACAAAATTTCCCAAGCCTGGTAAGTTCTGTGGTGGCAGAACTGCGTCACATCATGGATGTGGCCTGGCACATGGCTGATGTGCTACAGCTGTCTATCGACGACTGTCTTCCCACAGCTCCTTCCAGTCTACCACTTCGATGACGACGATGTTGGCAGTACTGTGCTCTTCCAAACAATGTTACGAGGTAGAAACTACCGCCTTTATTTTACAAGTCAGGGAAACGAGGGTTGGTGATGCTCTGTGACATGCCCAGGTCACAGTGCTGGAAGTAGTAGAGCTAGGATTTGAACTGAGGTCTCCTTGCTTCTGGAGTCTGAATTGTTAATTACTGTCTAGACTGTCTGCCTATAGCCACTGTGGGTTTAGAGGTGGTAAACTTGAATTCTTGTCTAAAGCAAAGAGGAAGAGTCCTTCCAGTTATTTCAACACTGGTTTGGGGAAGTGTATAGCAAGCAGGAAGTGTCTCTATTTCACTCCACACTTTAGAGAAGGCAGTATTTTTGGTAAGGTAGGACTTCAGGAACTCACCATTGGTGATTCTAAAATGACTCTAAAATTTATGTATAAGTTCCTTTTTGGGGCAGGGAGGGGTAGAATACTTTGTTACAAAATGGAAACGAGGTTCCCAGAGTAGTTCATAAAAGCCAATTTAACTCATAATTAAAATATGGTGTATCTGCAGCAATAAACTAGTAATTAAACCAGATGGAAAAAGGTACATTCAGTAAGATATAATTTATAAAATTAAGTTCAGTGCTCAAGGAAATGCAGACTTAATGAAGAAAAATATTTTTTTAAATCTGAAGGAAACTTCTGGATGCTTTTATAAAATCTTTTATTAGAAACAGGTCATGCGGGACCTTTAATTCCAATTTCTCTTCAAAACCCGGCTTTCTTGTTTTTTGTGTCTTAGATTCAGGTGATATTACAAGGCACTCTCATACTTGACATTATCAAGATTGATTTGGTGCACATTTAGAACACAAGATGGAGGGAGATAAAAGGGAAGGAGGAGGGAAGCGCTCCCAGTGGGCACTGGGTGGGGCTGGGCGGTGAGCGGGGATGAGAGGAGGCAGCAGATGGTGGTGCGCTGAGATGAGGAATCCTATCCACGTGCTCCACATGGGAACAAGGGCAGGAGGGAAGGACAGGATGGCACAGCCTCTTGAGAAAGGAGCATGGCTGCTGGGGGGACAAGTCAGGGGTGTGTGTGAACCACAGTGCCCGTAAGATTGCATGTCCTTATATTTCACTGTCCATTTGTTCAGTATGTCAAGCACCATCTTGGTGCCCAGCACCGTCTTCATGGACAAATCCAGGTCCTTAAGGAGCTTACACTTTTTTGTGGGGAAATAGACAATAAACAAGCAACACGCACGCAAAAACAAAATGACAGTAATAAAATAATAGACAGTGATCACAGCCAGGATGGACTTAACAAGGCACTAAGAGTAAATAACAGGGGCACTAAACTGGAGAGGACATCTCTCGAAGTGAGATGAAAGTCGAGGTATGCCGTATGGGAAGGAGCTAGAAGAAAAGCATCTCAGGGAAGGACTAGCCAGAGCCCAGGGCCTGGGGAAGGAAAGACAGAACCTGGTGTGTCCTAAGAATCAGAGGGAGCTGGAGTGACTGGAGCTCAGGGCTTCAGAGGGAGAGAGGGATAAGATGATGGGAAAGAGGGATGCAGGCACAGTGCAGGATGACTGAGGGCTATGCTGAGGAGTTACAATTTAATTCTCAGTGCAAGGGGAGCCACTGGGGTTTTTCAGGAAGGGAGTATCAGGACAGAGGAGCTTACACAGAAATGGTTCTGGCTGCTGGGAGGAGAACAAATTGGAGGTCAAGTGTGGGTGTGCTCACCATGCAGCCTGTGTCTTTCTGTCCTTTGTTATGGGCACCACACAGACTGGCAAATAAGACTGTCACTTGCCATCTGGCATTTTACAGCTGGAAGGACACTCAGAGACTGTGAGTAATGTGGTGTTGAGACTTGATTTCACAGAGCAATAGAATATAAAAATGGAGGACTCGCAGAGTATTGCAACTTTCTATTAGGCTAAAGAAAGAAAAATCGCAGCTACTATCACTTCATTTCATAGGAGAAAAAAATATTTTAAAACCAAAAGCATAAGGACATAATCTTGAAAACTGTTTTATAGGAAATGCCACACCTTCCTTATATTTTCTACATTTTACCTTAGAAGCAGTGAAAACAAATCCACAGTTCAGTATTCAGAACATCAGAATTTTGGGACCATCCTTCTACCCCTTCACAGATGAGAATACGTGAACTTTAGGAGGCATGTGGCTTTCCCAGGGTAATGAGGTACATTAATGGCAGGGAGCCTAGGCTTCAGTCTCCTGACTCCACGTTAATTCTTGTTCCATTGCATCATCATGCTGTATATCTTCAGCTTACTTCTACCTTGCCAATGTTCAGCTACTGTACATCTGTAACTGTAATGCTGAGTACACCCACCATTTTCACTTCTCGGCCAATATTTCTTAGGGCTAAGATACCTATTAAGGAACAAGTATCCAGCAAAACAGCTCTCAGCCCAGAGCCCAACAAAATGGAATCCTTTTCTTTATAAAGAAGAGTAAGCATGGATGAACCTGGAAACCATCATTCTTAGCAAACTGACACAAGAACAGAAAATCAAACACTGCATGTTCTCACTCATAGGCGGGTGTTGAACAATGAGACCACATGGACACAGGGAGGGGAGCATCACACACTGAGGTCTGTGGTGGAGGGAACCAGGGGAGGGACAGCGGGGGGTGGGGAATTGGGGAGGGATAACATGGGGAGAAAGGCCAGATACAAGTGATGGGGATGAAGGCAGCAAACCACATTGCCACGTATGTACCTATGCAACGATCCTGCATGTTCTTCACATGTACCCCAGAACCTAAAACGCAATAAAAAAATATATATTAAAAAAAAAAGAAGAGTAAATTGTGTCTCACCTGATCTTTAGGTAGGCTGCAACTCCAAACACCAGCAGCACCACAGCAATGACTGTCACGGTAATGGCGGCGATGCTGCCTGTGAAGGAGGAAGGGCACAGAAAAGAAGATACATGAGGATGTGGGACATCACATGACTTTGGCATGTATAGTATCCACCTTCTGCCTGATCCCATCTTTTCTCTGCAAGAGGAAAAAGCTGCTTCAGATCATTCTGCATGACATTCACAGCTAGAATCAAACCTAGGGTCTTAACTCTGTTACCAAAACACTGTTTATGCAGGGGAGGCTGGGTAAATGATCAATATTTATCAAGACTTTTTCGTGGCCTGGAATTCAGAGAGCAGTATTTAGTCATATTTTGATTATCTTTTTAAGAATGACATCAATCTGTTGTTGTTGCTGCTGCTGTTCTCAAGGGTAGTGGGTTTTACATTTCTTGATGTCCTACTTTCTTCTTTTATGGGCTCTGTCTCATCTTTTTCCTAGTTGTGAAATATTGGGAGACTTAAAATATTTTATTCAAGGGTCACTACAAAGTAATTTGGTTGTGTTTTTCATAAAAATATCGGTAGTACACACTTCAAAAGAGTCACCTTGGTAGTAGATGCGCTAATTTTAATGAGGCAATCAAGTCAAAGCATTTAAAAAAAACTCCTCTGTGGGAAATATGTTCAATTTTCATTCCTGAATAGTAAACTTGGTTTTATAGAGAATAAAGTCATTTGATATATATATAATAAGGTTAAGTCTGATAGGTAACACTATTTTTTGTTTGTAGAAATATCCTGGTGCAATATAAGGTAAGATGAATGTTTTATTCTGTAGTTTAAAATCTGGTTCCAAAAACAACTATTAATATGCAGTTTAAAAAAACTCTTTGAGCATGTACACTTGTAAGAATAACCATACCTCCTCCAAATACTACTTTGAAGCACAACATACTTTTTATGTGAGTTTTGCACTAATAATGAATATACTTGAGTTTTATTTCACCTTAAAAATGGCAAGAATCAATTGGACTCTTGTCCCCTAATACTTCAAGTGATTTTTGGGCGCTAAAGCTGGTGTCACAGACCCCATTTACTCTTTTAGGCCACTGGGAAATTATTTACTAGTATTTCAACAAATGAATGGGCCTCTTTTAAACACACTGCAAAGAGCACAAGAGATTTGGAGTCTGAATATGTGGATTCAACTGTGGTTCAACCATTAGTAGCTGTGCAACCACGTACTATTTATTTAACCCTGATGACTCTTACACTACTTACCTGCTTAGACAGAGGAATAAGAGTGTTCCACCCATCCTGCATGATTTTAAGAGGATTAAATGAGATGTCAGGTGCACCAATCTAAAGCACTATGCAAATACATGATCCTGGACCAATTCTCATCTCTTGTGTACTAGGTCTCAAAAATAATGAATCTTCCTCACATTTTTGGAGATTTATCACTGTAGATTATTTTAATATCTCTTCTTTTATTTTTATTTTATTTTATTTTGTCTGCTGGTATGAATGGCTTTTGTTGCTGTTCGTTTTATTAGCCTTTCCACGAAAAGAATTAGAGCACAGTTAAGAAGTAAATCCGTTTACTTGTTAATTCTTTAGTAACATCTAAAAAGTTTTAGATGAAAGAACACTACATCAGACATCCATGCTCCTGCTGCTTATAATTTCTAAAAGAGAGTAAAAAAAAATCATGAATCATTGATAACATTAAGACTAAGACCAGAGCTTGTCGTGTCTACAAAGACTGATCATATTCAACCATTTCAGAGCTTACATGCTTCTGAACACTCACACATCCATTTCTTTGCTCCTGGAATCATTTTGAGCCAGATTAATATAACTATCAGAATAATTCTCTCTTTTTACTACTGTAAAGACAGAATTATGTCATTGAATGTTCAAATGTGCAGACTGGGTCAAGCAGAGAAAGTCCAAGGTCAGTTTTCCTTATGGAAAACCTCCACTCCTACTTTGAAAGGCTCCTCTTGGCTTCTTGACCTCTAAACCGTGTTGACATTAGAACAATTCAAAGTTCACTGAAGCCTCATAATAGCCCTTTTAAAAGCTTATGAAAGGAGGGTTATAACTGCAAGGGAAGGTGATGGGAGTATTTTAAGATTCCAAAAGATATAGTCATTGCAATTAGGAGCAGTTTAAAAAACTGTCCTTTTAATTTAATTTCTCTTATTAAGAAATGGAAGAAAAGAAGGAATATTGCTGATTTTTCTGCAAGACTCTTCTTTCTTGCCCCAGGAATAGTTTTATATAGGAAATCACAGTTTTGATCTTTTCCAGATTATTCTCAAGCTTTAAGCAGTTGGGTCCCCAACTTTATGATTTATTGATTTTATTGATATACCACCTGTTTCTAAAGATAAATCAGGAACGTCCCCGACTAAAGTGCATTCTTTTTTTTTTTTTTTAGATTGTAAGTGATAGAGTGACTACTTCTCCATGTGATGGGTGGCTATCTTCAAGTGTACCCCCAGTCTACAAATGGGGCTCTTCCATGCCACCCTTTCATGTCCAAAGAAGATAGTCTGTATGACCAAAGCTGGAATTAGCAATTTATTTTCCACCTGATGGGACCTTGAGGGCAGCTGGGCAAAGGGGCACTTCTGAGAGTTCCTACAGCCCAATATATGGCCAAATGGTATAAGATAAAATAGTACTTAAATATTTGAACCACATAATTAACTATGCTGCTACCCACTGGCTCTTCTCAGTAGATGCCAGCCGTGGGAAGAAGAGTCCTCCAAAAGCAGAAAACCTTTATCCGGGCCTGAGGCTAGGAGATCTTGTTTCCTGAGCTTGCTGTTACCTGCACAGCAGTGGCTGCTTTCAGCTGGTAGCCTCAGCCCTGGGAAGTTCCACACCTGAGGGCATCATCGTTTGAGAAGATGAAGGGGTTGCTGAGCCCACTTTAGCACCGCTTTACAAGGTGACTGAAAAGGCTTTATTTCCTCCTTGTGAAAACAAATGCTATTTCCTCCTGAGTTCTGTTTAAACTAAACTGGAATTCCTCTCCTCCTCCTCTGACATTTTTCAATACAGGGTAGGGAGAGGAAAAATGAGGAAGGTGTGGCTGAGGGCAGGGAAGGCTCTGCCCTGTGAGGAAGGTGCAGGACACTGACTGGCAGTGCACTGCGAGCACAGAGATGGGGAAGGTGGCTGGCATTTCATTTCTTCCTCATTGGGATTTGTGAGTTACAGACTGGGTGTGACTCATTATAAAGCCCTGGAATGGGCAGAAATTAAGAACTGAAGGAAACTTACCTATATATTTTATAATCCAAGTTACAAGAATTTTCCACTGTGCTAGCACATTCCACTCTATCAACGTGTTCTGGGCTACTGAAGGCCTGTGAGCCAAAGCCTCTGAATTCTGGGCTTCCCTGAAGGCTGGAATTTCTCAGGGTTGCATTTTCCACTTTTTTAATGGCTCAGAATCAGAATAACTGGGCTAACGAATAACCATAGCTACCATTTGCAGGTGATTACTTTGGGCCAAGACTGCCCAAAACTGTACAGCTATCATCTTATTTAATTCTCTTTACAAGGTGGACAGGATTATTCCATTTTATAGATGAGGAAGTGAAGGCTCAGAGAGATTAAGGTTTTACATGTGGTAAATGATTGAACTAGCATTTGAACCCAGTACTATTTCATCCAGGTTTTATATTTTTAATCGTTAACTTTTCTCAGCTTAGCTAGCGCCTACTCTTCTTCATTACCTAACTAAATGTCAACCCTTCGGAGCCATTTTCCCTGACACCTCTGAGTAAATTACAGTGTTGTGTGTTGTCAGATCTCAGCATCAACTTCTTGGAAGCATTCTGTGTTATGTTTATGTGCTTCCCTAGGTCAACTGTATTTATGGCCATCCTGCATCCCTTCCCATTTATTTGTGCACTCTTAGCTTAAGACACCATCTTTGACCCACAGTGGGTACTTAACTCATGTATTTAATGTTGAATAAACACATTTAATACTAGCTTAAAAAGATTATCCTAAGTTTTTTTTACCCTAATCGCTGTGCTAAGAAAGTTTCCACACAGCAGACTTAGCACCTATTCACCTTGTAATCACCTGCTCCAGTTTTTACCTGAGTACCTACTCCTATGACTACATCTATAGTCCCACTTATCCAGCCCCCGGCCTTCTCACTGTGCACTTGCAAGTCCCCATCAGTAACCAAGGTTAGTTGGAGGAGAGTTCATTTAGGAATGTATTAGTCTGTCACACTACTAATAAAGACATACCCAAGACTGGGTAATTTATAAAGAAAAAGAGGTTTTTTTTCTTTTCTTTATAAAGAAAAAAAACCCACTCCCACATGGCTGGGGAGGCCTCACAATAATGGTGGAAAGTGAAAGGCACATTTTACGTGGCAGCAGTCAAGAGAGCATGGGCAGGGTAACTCCCTGTTATAAAACCATCAGATCTTCACTATCACAAGAACAGCACAGGAAAAACTCATCCCTGTGATTCAATTACTTCCCACTGGTTTCCTCCCATGAAGCATGGGGATTATTTTAATTCAAATTGGGTGGGGACACACAACCAAATCATATTAAGGAATATCTAGAGTCAGATAACATCCTTGAAGCAGCTCAGAGTAAACTTTTGGTTAGCCCAGTTGGCCACTACTCCATTCCCCTACAACCCTGAGGAAGGAGGCTGCCTGTAGGATTATTCCTTTCCCTGCTTTGGCTCTGTTCTGTACCCTGAGGCAGACCTGGAATCAACTGTGGCATCATTTAAGTCTCTCTCTCCCTACACTCACACATCTCCATGGGCCCTCGCACCACACACATGGGCCTCTTTTCTTTATCACACACTCATTAGGGGTTCTGTTCATGTCTAAACCTCCTGCCTCTCACTTGACCAAAAGGTTCCTTCTATCTTCCTGGGCTTAGCAATATTCTCAAACATCAAATGTTCCTCTAGGGACTCTTCTCATTGAGGATTTTTTTTTTTAACTTCACTTTAAACATGAAATAAACACTTTATTTGAATCTTTGGAAGAAATATTAATACTTGCTAGTTGTATCCAAAATGTAAATAT